GAATTCTAGGTTATCCGTATTTTTCTTCATAATTTTGAAGGCATTGCTCCATTGTCCTCAACCTTGAAAAATGCTATTAAGAATTACTTATGGTGGGCCGGGCGCGGTGGCTCAAGCCTGTAATCCCCGCACTTTGGGAGGCCCAGACGGGTGGATCACGAGGTCAGGAGATCAAGACCATCCTGCCTAACACGGTGAAACCCCGTCTCTGTTTTAAAAATACGAAAAACTAGCCGGGCGAGGTGGCGGGCGCCTGTAGTCCCAGCTACTCGGGAGGCTGAGGCAGGAGAATGGCATAAACCTGGGAAGCGGAGCTTGCAGTGAGCTGAGATCCGGCCACTGCACTCCAGCCTGGGTGACAGAGCGAGACTCCGTCTCAAAAAAAAAAAAAAAAAAGATTTACTTATGGTGATATTTAGTCTTTTGCATATACCTAATTTTGCTTTATTGTTCTTCTGAGGAAACTTTTACAGTTGTCTCTTGGTTGGTCTTGTTTCTGAAGGTTCATGATGATGTACCTCATGAGGATCTTTTTTACTTCTTTGTGGTGAGCTTTTGGTAGGCTCTTTAATTTGGAAACATCAAGTTTAGAAAATTTCTTTGATTATGTCTTTGAGAATTTCTTCTCTCTGTCCCTCCACTCCCATTTTCTTTCTCTGTCTCACATTTGTTAGTCAGATGTGTATGTTCTGGATTAACCTCTCATCAGCTTTTGTCTTTTTTTTTTTCTTTCTTTCTTTTTTTTTTTTTTTTTGACGGAATCTTGCTCTGTTACCAGGCTGGCGTGCAGTGGTGCGATCTTGGCTCACTGCAACGTCCATGTCCTGGATTCAAGCAATTCTCCTTCCTCAGCCTCCCGAGTTAGCTGGAATTACAGGCGCCCACCACCATGCCCGGCTAATTTTTGTATGTTCAGTAGAGACAGGATTTTGCCCTGTTGGCCAGGCTGGTCTTGAACTCCTAACCCAGGTGATCTGCCCACCTTAGCCTCCCAAAGTGCTGGGATTACAGGTGTGAGCCACCATGCCTGGCCTTGTCTTACTTTTCATTTTGTCTTTTTGTTCTGCTTGATGGAACTTTTAATTTTTTTTTCTTATTTTTCCTGTCCTGTTTCTTGTTGATGCCTAACCATTCCTTTTTCATAGCATCCTGCTCTTATTTCAAAGATGCATTTATCTTTATCTAGCTTTATGAAATATACATATCCTATGTTTATAAATACCTAAATAAAAATGTGTGTATCTGTTTCTGTATATATAGTTATATATCTAAACTTCATTCTGCTGCCTTTATCATCTCTTTTTTTCTTGAAGTTACTTTTTTTCTGTTGCTGATTTTAGCTCTTTCTTTTTTTAAATAAGATGTGATGCTCTAATACAGATATTGCCTAACTATGACTTGCAGTATCTGGGTTGCAGCCTGTTTTTGTACAGCTCTTGAGCTAAGAATGGCTTTTTGACATTGTTAAAGTATTAGGGGAACAAAGTAGGCAGAAGAATATGCTACAGAGACTGCATATGGACCACAAAGCCTAAAGTATTTACTATCTGGTCTTTTATAGAAAATGTTTTCCAATTCCTTTTTTAATGTCTGAGGATTCCTTTCATTTTTAAGAGATGGCCATTAAAAGCTGATTGGAAGCTCTGTATATAATTAGGGCTTGGTTAGTTTCACTAAGGAATAACTTGGTAATACTAAAGCCAGCTTTATTTTAGGTAGCCCAAAGTGTCATTGTTTATTGGTCTTTTCTTTGAGGCTTTTCAGTTTCTCTAGAGGAGAATCTCTTAATCTCCTGCCTGGAGTGTACAAACCTGCTACACATGTTTCCAAGGTGAGTACTACCTTTGAGTGTAGACTTTCACCTGATCATCCTGTTTTTGATGCAGTTGACTAAATCTGTACTCTCCTGTGCCTCAGGTACAGTTTCTTCAGAGGCAAAAATCTTAGTCTTCTGCTGGAGTCAGAGTGATCTGGCTGCATAGAAAGAAAATAAGTGGAGAGTTGTGAGCGCAGTTGCCACTTACATAGAAGTCAGTGCACACCACATCACTGCCTGTATACTTCTTAATGTTGTACCTCTTAAATTAAATTATCGAATTTTAAAGATTTAAACACAATCAGGAATGGTATCATTATCTGTTTGTATTGTATTGATCCATGTATTTTTGTATACATTCCCATAGTTTTGGTATTACATGTTAAATATTTAATTCAGTTATCTAGAAAACATTTAAGTTGTTGCTGAGAACTAGGATGATTTAATCTTTGATTTTCAAAATAACCCTGTGAGGTTGTGGATTCCACAATCGTGGTGGCGGCATTTTACAAATGAAGAAACTGAGACACGGAGAAATTAATTTTCATGTAGAAGATCACTTAGTTTAGTAAGAGTAGAACGAGGATTAAGCCAAACACTCTAGGTCTAGAGAATGCTTTCTTTACAACTTGGTCACACTATAGTTTAAAATAGTATATTGATTACATGGCAAGTGAATTATATTAGTAAGTGATACAATAAGTTCCAAAGAGGAAAAGAATGGCCTCAGCTGAGAAGGTAATGGTAAGTATCATGAAAGATGTGGAGCTTTTGTTGAGTCTTGGATTAGGTAGGAGGAGGGAAGAGGGCAGTTCAGATGATAGATTATGATCGAAGACAGTGTAGTGATGACACTCAGGAGATGGTAAGTACACTATTCTGATTAAGGTGAAGATTTGGGGACTATGGAATGAAAACTTGAACATGTGGGTGTGGCCAGATCATAGTATTACATATGGGTTATTGGGAGATAGTGTTCTAATATGGAACTCAATAAATAATTTGGTTTTTAAGATTTATCCAGTATGCAATATGAAGTGAGGATGCAGTGATTATACCATTTTAGGCATTTGTGGTGTGGGACTGTAAAGCATTAGTGATAAGTGCAAGATCATGCTTCATGTCTGGATCAGGCTGCATATAATTTTGTTTTCCTTTAGTGTTGACGTATTTTGTAATTTCAGTATTCTAGGATAACAAAGTGCAGTGGTAGGTGTAATTTTTGGGAAATTTTATTCTGATGATTTGATACCACTTTTGGCCAAAGATACTATTTTGTTTTTCAGTGTAAGCAAAGAAGTTGGAAATTGTCTCCTTATAGATTCTAGTAAACATTTTCAGTAAAAATAAAGCAGTGTTTTTCAAACCTGGGTTTAAAGCATTTAGGCTATTAGAGATCATCGCTGTATCTTAAAAGCAATTCAGTTGTGGTTTTGCAGCTTGACTATATTCATCTTTCTTTGTCCTCTTCTAATATGTAAGCTCTTCGTTATAATGCCAAGAAAGAGATGGATGGACCTGTATTGTTTGATATGGGTTGAACATTACAGTCCAAAATCCAAAATGCTCCAAAATCTGAAACTTTTCCAGTACTGGCATGACACCAGAAGTAGAAAACTTTACACCTGGCCTCTTAGATTGCAGTTAAAATGCAGTCAAAATTTTCTTCACGCATAAAATTATTAAATATATTGTATAAAATTACCTTCAGACTGTGTGTATAAGATATATATGAAAGGATTCTTCTGATGATGAGAATGTTTTAATTCTTTACTTCTGTCAGGGCGTTCTATTTTGAAAAGATTTTATGTGTTACTGCTATAAGTACTACATTGACTTAGGTGCTATGTACAGTTTTTTAGAGGCAATATAATCGTTAAGTGCACAGATTCTAGATCCAGACTGTCTAGTTTTAAATCTCAACTTTCTCTAATCTGGCTGTGATTTTGAGGTTTTTACTTGTACCTCTCTGCCACAGTTGTTTTTTGTTGTTGTTGTTTGTTTGATTGTTTTCTGAGACAGAGTTTTACTCTTGTTGCCCAGGCTGGAGTGCAATGGTGCTATCTAGACTCACTGCAACTTCCATCTCCTGGATTCAAGCAATTCTCCTGCCTCAGCCTCCCGAGTAGCTGGGACTGCAGGCATGTGCCACCATGCCTGGCTAATTTTTGCATTTTAGGTAGAGATGGGGTTTCGCCATGTTTGCCAGGCTGGTCTCAAACTCCTGACTTCAGGCGATCTGCTCACCTAGACCTCCCAAAGTGTTGGGAGTTTATAGGTGTGAGCCAGTGCGCCTGGCCCACAGTTTGTTTTGTTTTGTTTTTTTAAGTTTTTTTAAATGTCTGTAAAGTAGCAATAATAATGTGGTTAATGTGAGAATTAGAAGTTAATTGGTATTGCCCGGCACATGGCAAGTACTAAATGATAGCTGTTATTTTCCATGCTTGACATAAAGTTTACGTAAAGGTTGCTTTTCTAGGTTTGTTTGCCAAGCACCTAATTTTGTTTGTTTTGCGATTTCAAGGAGAACAATTTGGTGTATAATGGAGATCTGAGTTCTAGCTTTGGGCCACGCACTGATTTAACCTTGATTAAATCAATTTGTGTGTGTGTCGGAATGGTTCAGATAAGATAATCTCTTCAGCCTATTTTAATAGATGAGCATGTTGAAACTTTGGCTGTGTTTGAATACTCAGTTGGAACTTGTTTTCTCTAAAGATTTTCGCTTAATACTAATGTGAAGTGGTGATCCCAGACATTTAGTTTTCATACTACAGATCAACAATAGCTACTAGTAAAATTCTCAAGTTTTAACTTGTTGAATTATTATGGATGATTCCTGTGTTATATGTTTAATTATAAATGTAAACTGGTTTAACAGACATGCCTAATAAAGACAGTTCTCTAGAATAACCTCTACCCTGGCTTTTCATGTCACTGAGAACGTATTGCATAAAAATCTTGAAATAATCTTCTAGTAAAATTTGAGTGAGATAAACTAGAAATACATTCCCTAGCTATAACTTAGTATGTGGGTGCTCTTTTCCTTAATTTAAAAATGTTATAAACTCCACTTAGAAATAAATGTTGTAGCCAGATTTTATTGGAATCAAGTCCTATCAAGATCGTTGTGTATAGTTCCCATAAAGTTATTGTGGTTTTTCCTGAACTTTTCCTTCTGCAGCAAAGTTCTATTTTCATTAACTACACACTATTTTAAAGTAGAAGATGGTGGTGAAAGATCTGTTTGTGTCACCTTTGGATTTTTTTTCTTTGTCAAAGCAATGGCAGTATTGATTGTAACAGAAAATTATCTGGAATTTGGACTTGAAACAGGTAATAGTTTCATACAACTTTAAAAATCAATGTTGCTTTATCTAATGCTAATATTTTTGACCTCAGTATTTAAGTTTTATATCTGATAAATATTTAAAATTAAATTTAAAGTGTATACTCTGTAATGTTCTAAATAATTAACCTTTATTATTCTTAATTAAGATCTTCTTTTTTTGCTTTTGTTTTAGCTAAGTTTTTAATTAATATGTTTTCCAAAAATACTGTCTCGTTTTTTTCCTTACAGTTAAATAAGTTTCTGTAATGCTAAAGTTTACTCACATAGTTAAAGAATTAATGCAAATTTTATGCACACTTATGGAATGTACAGATATCAAAGGGATGTTTTCAAAGCCTGTTCCTGCTAATAACCAAATTTTATTGCGTTATGGCATACTAATTAACACATGAAAGAGCTAAGCTAGTCACTTCAACATTTAAGATGCTCTGTTTTCTAGCATTTTATTTCCACAGAAAGATTCTATATTTCACATCTGTGATAAGAGTAATCTGTTTTTGTTTTTTTTTTCCTACAGGGTTTACAAATTTTTCAGACAGTGCGATGCAGTTTCTTGAAAAGCAAGGTTTAGAATCTCAGTAAGTCTTTGAAAAATTAAGCATTATTTAAATTTAACATTTTATATTTTTAATAAAGCAGTATTTACTATAGCTGTTTTAAATTAGTAAAGAGTTTTAAGTTGGACTGTCACTTCTAGAAACATCCTTACTCATAATTTTTATGACTATATAAAGTTAGTATCTTTCATAGAATTCTTATATAAATTTGCATTTCTTAAATTCATCTCCCTCAAAAGATTAAATTTCTATCCAAGTTATATGTCAATTCCTTGTTGAATGTGTAAGTTAGGTTGTTGTGACTGCGACTAAAGAGATGCCTCATTTAGTTTACAGTTCACCAGAATCTATTATAGGTACTTGAATGATAGCAATCTTTTTGTAGAAATTTGCTTTGTTTTACTGTTATTGTTGTTTGTAACAGAATTGATTAGAAGAAAGGAAATTCTTCGAAAGCTAATTATAAAAATTTATCAGCTTCTTTAAAAATTTTATTTTTAGGAGTCCTGTTTCAAAACTTACTTTCAAATTTTTCCTGGCTATTTTCTGTTCACTCATTGGGGCTTTCTTGACATTTCCTGGATTACGGCTGGCTCAAATGCATCTGGATGCCCTGAATTTGGCAACAGAAAAAATTACACAGTAAGCGGAAAATGTACATAAGCACATGCAGATAAATATATGTTTTCCATCTTAATGAAGGTATAATATTGTAATGTAATCATAAATTATTGTATTGAAAATTAATAAATAACTATTTGATGTCACATTACTTCCTCTTTCAACTATAAGCAAGTTTCTTTTATTTGCTTCTAAATTTTAAGTCTTGTATTTAAAAAGATACACCATCAATTACTAAATTTGTCTTGCCTGTTAAAATGAAAATCTCAAAATTTATGTTCTTTCTAATTCAGGGGCTTACATTGCAATCTCTACAACTAAACTGAGGCTCCATAGAAATTTCCCTTAAAAAATAAGATCATTTTACTTTAAAATACTGTTTTAAGTTTTTATATGAATCTATTTAAATTAACTTTTTAATGTAAAATTTTATTTAAAAACATTTTAAAACTTAAAGTTGTATGTAAGAGATGTTTGTTTTCCTTAAGTTATTGACCTGCTTATTGACTCTTATTAAAATAATACATTATTTTGGAATTGTTAATACTCTACAATGTTATATGTTGTACATTACTTCTAAGTACCAAATTCTATTTTAGTTCTGAAATTCTACGTTTGGACAAGTCATATTTCATCTTCATATGTAGTTCAAAGCCCATTTACTGTATTCTTTGTGGTTGTCACAGATGTTTTTTGTTGTTGATGTAGACATCTTGGCAGAAAGATAGGCTTATATCTACTTCAACTCATATTCAGATCAAAGTTCCTGTCTCATCGTTTTGTTTTGCAGTAGAAGCCCAACTTGAGAATATTTCATTTTGATATGTGTATTTATAATCATTAAGTTTCTCTGGGTGATCTTATTTCCTAACATTTCTATTCTTTAAAACCTATTTTTAATGAGGCTGAGTCTTTAGTCTTTGCACATTCTTGTCTCTGTTACCTATGTCATTTCCCTTTAATTTAATTTTGACTGTCTTTTTTTTTTAACCTCACTTCCATTTTTCTACATATGCTTTATATGTGTGTTTACCTATTGTCACCTTCCACTACACACTCCTTCATCCTTCTTTTTTTTTTTTTTTTTTTCCTTCTTTTACTCAGCGTGCTTTTGGCTACATCCTGCCTTTCTCCCACCACCCGTCTCCCTAATGGCTTCTTTTAAGACAAAACCTGGTTCTCCCCCTCTTCTCTACACACACACTTCAGTCCACTAACCCCAGTGTTATGATTTAAATAAGCTGAAAAGGGTGGGTGGAGGGGAGCCCTTCACAAGCTACTGAAACCGCTGTGGGCTGCTCCTTGATACTAGAGTGTTCCCTAGCAACACTGCATACCTAATACTGCTTCTTTCTTCCCCACATCCGATGGTTTACCCAGGCTGTGGGATGAAAGAATCACTTCATAAAAACATTTAAAGCATTTAGTGGTGGTTGGGGGTGGAGCACACATTTTAGTGCCCTTTTTAGTAAAATGTGGCTTCGTTTTAAGATTTTTTCCCTTTGGGGATTTGGGGTTTTATTTTCAGTTATTGCAGCCCCTCATTGTGTTGTAGCACTCTGCCTTGATATAAGGGTGTGGGCAAGCTAGTTCTGTTGTGAGAATAACATGACTCGCACAAAGAGCAGCATTCTCTTCACCCCCATGGCCAGGCACTAGGACCTGTTTTCATATCAGAGGTTAGAGCGAGAGTTCTGCCTTTCCCTGTCAGGTGTTCATGGCTTCCTGACCCAGCCCTGTTCACTCACACAGATCCCTGTCATTTGCCTGTGTAGTAATACTTTAAAATGTGGTGTTTGTGTGTATTTTGAATCTTCCAGTTTAGCTCTTAAGTGTGGTTGATAATGAAAGCAGTTTATGGTAAAAAATGTGTGAAGAATTTGCCTTTTTTCTAAAATAACAAAAATGTTCATCAGCCATCTGTCTCTGTAGGGTACAAACTTGGACAATTAACAATGAAGTTATAGTGCAGACCTGAAACCTTTGCTGTATTAGGTATATTGCCTTGTCAGGAGTAATGCAAATTTTTTTGAGATATATATATATATATATATGGGATAGGGAAATTATTTCAAGTGTGTTCATACTCATTCAAAAAGAAATTAAAATGTGGAATCACTTATGATTTTAACAATGGAAATTAAAAATTATACATGATCATTACACATTGAAAGGTTCCTCAGTTGCAGGTTGTTGGAGTAGGTTCCATCTGCCATATGCCTTCTAGTCATATGGACCTGGCTAATCACTATCATTTACTTGTAGATAATGAGGAGACACTTTGTTTCATTTGCACTAGAAAGTATCAGATGACTCTTCTGTACTGAAAATCCATTAGATTCATTGACTATCTAAAGTTAGAATCATTAAATACCTGCTTATTAAATCAGGAATAAAGTATGGGATTACTAAAGAATACTAGAATAGAAGTGAACAAATCTGAATTTTAGTCCTATATTTACCTCTGGCCTGTTATTGCCAAGAGCAAGTCATTTAACTTTTCTGCATCTAAATGTTCTCATTTGAAAAATTAAGATAATGACATAATTTCTCACAGGCTCAAATCAGTGTTAAATCATAATGATAAATATAAAATGATGGTGACAGTAGTACCGTAAGTAATAGAATATTGCAAATAAGTTCCTACCTCCATTTTAGTAAGACCCAAGCTTCTGTAGTTTATTAGCACATGTTGTTTCTGAATTTTTATATTTATTTCTTACATATTTTCAGAACATTACTTCATATCAACTTCCTGGCACCTTTATTTATGGTTCTGCTCTGGGTAAAACCAATCACCAAAGACTACATTATGAACCCACCACTGGGTAAAGAAAGTATCCCTTTGTAAGTATGGGCATTTGAAAGTTGATTTTTATCACCAAAACTGCTTTACTAAATGTTATTTACTGTATTTGTTTTTCAGTGATAAAATCAGGACACTGTATTTTTCAGACATTAATAGGAATGCTAAAAGATATGTTAGAAAATTGAAGCTACAGAGCATCGTTTAACATTTTTGTGATCTTTATTAGTTAATGTTAATAATTATTACTTTGCACTAATATTATCTTATACACTGTTTTTTTTCTCTTCTTTACGTCCAGTCATCATCATTTTTCAGTCATCATCATTTTTCTGTTGTCATTGTGCCTATTGTTTAGATACTTTCTGGAGTTCTTTTGTTTTAATTGTGAAAATTATGGAGAAAAAAAGTAGTGTAAATGGAAACTCATATACTCAACCCCTATATTTGACAGTTGTTAACATTTTCCATATTTGCTTCATCCATTTTTTATTTTGTTTTTTGATGAAGCATTTTTGAATTAAATTAGAGACATAGCAGTTTTATCCCTTCATACTTTAGCTTGCACCTCTAAAACAAATAAGGATATTTTCCTATATAACAATAATATCATCGTACCTAACAAAATTATCTAATACTAATACCTTAACATTATTATCTAATACTAGTTTATAGTTCTATAGTTAGGCAACTATATTTTAGCAGAAGATGGTGAGGAAACAAACAGTTTATTAATAGGCGTTAATAACTAGACTTGATATGTTAGCCTTGTAGAACTGTTAGAGTAATAGAAAGTTTCAGACAGAACTGGTCCAAACTCTAGCTCTCCTCCTTACTAAAATCTTTGCTTGAGGCAGATTACTTAACCACTGAGCCTCTGTTTCCCCATGTGGAAGACGAAGATAATAGTATCTACGTCACAAGGTTATCATTGGAGTAAATGAAAGAACACATGTAATGCAACCAGCTGGAATTAAGTGCTTAATAAATGTTCTTTTCACTGCTTTGCCTCATCAGAATTAAAATAGAAATACTTGACTAGCCGTTGACTGTGCAGTGTACCTTTTATATTGTGTACTTCTTTTAGATCCTGGTACCAGTTTTTCTTGGAGTATATATAAAATCAGTGATGACCATGATAATTTTTCTTTTTAGATTTAATCCTGTTGAACCCAGGAAATAGCCACTGAAAAAGTAATGCTTCCCCCCTGCCGATATACACTAATTACCTTAATGGTAATTTTAACTTGACAGATTCCTTAAGTATTGAAGAGTAATTCTAAGGATCCTAGGGTTCTAGAAAAATCTCAGAGAAACTGCTAATTCATATCTTTGATACTGAAAGCATTCCCAATCCTTCCTTGAAATTTGGTCGTGGAAACTGGATTTCATACTCCTGTCATTATGTTCTCTGATTTTATATTTGCCTTAGTTAAATTGAGAAAATAGGGAAACTAGCATTTATGATACACTTATACCAGTTATTATGTGAGACATTGATACTTTACATATTGTATCTTTTTATGGTAATTGTGCATATGTTGTTGTTCTCATCCTGTTTTATAAATGAAATAACAGACTCAGAGGTTAAATAATTTGACTAAGGTTATTCAGCCAAATCGTGTGTACATAAAACACTTGGTAGTTATACCAACATTCACTTCCCACTTCCAGTCTGATTAAGTTACATGTGGATTCATTAGTAGTGAATACTTTATTTAATGGAAATGGGAATAAGGAACTTTTCCCTTGTGTGTATATTAAATTATAGGAAAAATGTGGTTTGTACATAAAGACCTGAGGTTCTCTTTCTATGGTTTTACCTCTGCTCTCTTTTATTATTCTTTAATTTGAATTCATGGTTATTAGAGGCAGTTTTTAATTTTTGTTAAAAATCTAAAGTGCATATGGTAGATTGTGAAAAATGGCTTCCCATCAAAGAGGGTAGGATGAAGGAAAAATGAAGTGACAGGTTCTTCTTCTGTCACAGACAAATTGATTTGTGGAAAGGTCTTTGTAATCAGAAGCAAAAAATATGGTATAATGTAGTTTCAACCCAGAAATGTATTTGAGTCCATCATGTGTTCTGATAAAGCATTGAAAAAAAATATTGGTAAACAGAGTCCATGTGTGCTTATAACCTCATAAAAAGAACACAGCATATACAGGAAAGCTCAGAATGGCATCAGGAATTTAGGGTGATTTCTTCTGCCTGTGCTTTACCTGTGTACTTTAAGCCCCTCCTCATGCTCCTTCTTGAGATACTCTATCAGATCAATTTTTCAGATATTTATGATGATACTGAATAATCTAATTAGAAAGTACTATTTAATGACTATTATCCTAAATCCTGAACCCATAAACTGAGCAAATAATTTTCTAGTTTACTACCTTCTATTCCTTTCATTCACATTACCTGTTATCCTCAAAGGCTGTGAAATAGCTGTCTTCAGGCTGCTCCCAGTTAGTTGTCCTTGTTGCACAACTGGAGGGAGCACAGTATTGTTTATAGGTCCCCAGGAAAGGGTCAAGGCTGTGGGTAGGCTTGTGTCTTATGTACTGTTACCCTCACATGATGGCTCCCTAATCTCATTGTTCATTGTAGTGGAAACATGTTGATAAAATGTTATGCCTTTATCTTTCTTAGCCAACAGTGCATTTCCATTGGAATTTTATGTCCATGTCCCCTCGTGACTTAATAAAAAGAGAGAGTATATAAAGTAAAACCTTTGTCCCATCCCCATTTCTTAACTCCATTTCATTAACAGTTCGAGCAAAATATTACACTTCAAATTTTCCTATATTATAGTTTTAGTTATGAGGTTTGTTTTTTTTTTTTTTTGTAAATCTTTTCTCATTTGTTCTTCTTTATATGCATCCATTCTACCCTCATGTTCTTACGAATTTCAGGAAGACCCTTCTCAGTTCCAGGTTTTACCTGGCAAATCAGTCTGTGCATTACAACGGTCATATTAAGTGCCTGGTAGGTACTAGATATAAGACTAGATGCCAAGGGTGGTCTAGTCACTACATTCAAATTACTTGCAATGTATTTCTTCATCAGAGCAGAAACCCATGGTCTTTTAAAAACATTAAACACCAAAAGGACATCAGAAGTTATCTCTTCTTTCTTTTTTTTTTTTTTTTTTTTTTTTTTTGAGCGGGCGGAGTCTCGGCTCTGTCGCCACGCAGAGCTGGAGGGCAGTGGCCGGATCTCAGCTCACTGCAAGGCTCCAACCCTCTCTGGGTTCCAGCGCCATTCCTGCCTCGCTCAAAGCCCCTTGCCCTCAGACCTCCGAAGGCTGGACTGACAGTGCCGCCACCGGCTCTTCTCGCCCGGCCTAGTTTTTTGTCAATTTTTTAGTAGAGATCGGGGTTTCACCGTGTTAGGGCCAGGATGGTCCTCGACTCTCTGCCGCATCACCTCGTGATCCGCCCGTGCCTCGGCGCTCACCAAAGTGGCTGGGATTACAGGCTCGAGCACACGAGCGCGCCGGCCCCAGATTTATTCTCTTCTTCGTAAAATTCTTTCACAGCAGCGCTCCATCAGTGATTCTGGTTTCTGAAACGCATGTCTTTTTTTTTTTTTTTTTTTTTTTTTCTTTTTTTGAGACGGAGTCTTGCTGTGTCGCCCAGGCTGGAGTGCAGTGGCCGGATCTCAGCTCACTGCAAGCTCCGCCTCCCGGATTTACGCCATTCTCCTGCCTCAGCCTCCCGAGTAGCTGGGACTACAGGTGTCCGCCACCTTGCCCGGCTAGTTTTTTGTATTTTTTTTTTTTAGTAGAGACGGGGTTTCATCATGTTAGCCAGGATGGTCTCGATCTGCTGACCTCGTGATCCGCCCGTCTCGGCCTCCCAAAGTGCGAAATGATGTCTTTACGTTATGTGTTTTCACCTAGAATCCTAACCTTAAGTTTGAGGAATTGCTTAGAACCGAGCCAGCTTCAATGCATAACAAGTTAAATGAATTGTTGTAGAGGAATTTCAGGCATCTGATATCTTCATAATGTATCAGAAGTTTTGATTTTCCAGTGGTCCCAAGTGAAGGCTCAGCAGAGTGGAAGATCCCATGCAAATAGGTGTATGATCAGGCAAAGCTGTACCCAATGATGTTTGGTGATTGACTTGATTAGTCCCACAGGCAATCCCTGCAGTTTTCTTGCTTTCCCCAACTTCTCTTTTCATGTCACAGCCAGTTTTTATCCATGGAGGAGGGTATATAGAGAAAAGGGTATCATGTATTGCTCTACTTTTTTCTTCTAGATACCTGTTAACTTCTTATGCTTTCATAATACATTTATCTAGTTCTGTTATTCAAGTGAAAGTATTATACAGATAAGTCTATGGCAGAGTCAGATTCTTTTGTGTGTCTAACTGTTACTAAGTATAGACCTCTTATATTTTATATGGTGAGCATTAACATACAACAAGCATGCTAGCATATTGTTGTCTTTGAGAGCACTATATCAACTTTTTGATCTGTAGAATGACAGAAGCCACATTTGATACTCTGCGACTCTGGTTAATAATCCTGCTGTGTGCTTTGCGGTTGGCCATGATGCGTAGTCACCTGCAAGCTTATTTAAATTTAGCCCAAAAATGTGTGGATCAGATGAAGAAAGAAGCAGGGCGAATAAGTACGGTTGAGCTACAGAAAATGGTAAGTTTTATACCCTAGTCAAAATGAAAAATAGCAAAAACCACACTCTAAGAAAAAAGAAAAATATTGGTTTCCTTTAGTAGATAGTATTTCAACCTGTCTTATTCTTATTGTAAATAAACAAAACAATCTTAAGCTAACAGATATCAAAGAGACCTTTTTCTGATTTTGGTGCCACGTGAAGGAAGGGGTCTTAATTCTTCCTGCCTTAAGTGCTTGGTGTCATACAGTGGGTGGTACAAAGCTGTTTTATGCCTAATATTGCTAAATGGGACCCTTCTAATTGATTTGAAAGACGTTATAACATATTGTCCAGACTTTAAGACTTAAAGAGTAGGAAATACTACTTTTAGTGGCTACATTTATTCATTTTAAATGTACTTGAATATGAAATGTAAGTATTTAATTTATTTGAGGCTTCCACAGAAGAAAAGGACAAGGAATCCATCTGCCACTATAATGGACCAATAACTTGATTGTATCTTTCTTTAAGAGAGGTAGTTTTAGCTACCTCCTTTTATTATTATGATTGTTATTTTATTTTTTTGTAGAGACAGCATCTCTCTGTATAGCCCAGGCTTGTCTTGAACTCCTGAGCTCAAGCAATCCTCCTGCATCACCTCCCAAAGGATTGGGTTTACAGGCTGAGCCACCACGCCCAACCAGCTCCAGTTTTTTATTCACCTCCATAGTTAGAGGCATTTATTAAGATTTAGACAACTTTTTTTCTGTTTTACCTTTTATATACTTTTATATTTTCCATAGTTTGACTTCAAATATGTTCATGTAGAATGGGGACTTAATTTTTTATTTATGAGGGATTTATGCTCATATGTGACTCTGCCTACTATTGTTATTTAGTTGGATATTTTAGGTAGATGCCCTTACATTTTGTTTTATCTTTGAAATATGAGTAAATGTATACCATTTGAATCTTAGTCATTATTTTCTCCAATATATATACATCATTTAAGAATTATTTTTAAGGAATCTATTTTAATGTTCTCACATTCTAAAAACTTGTCTTCAAATTGAGCCTTTCCAGAGTAATTTTGGGGACATTAAGCATTGACATTTAGCTTCCTTCTTGTGAAAGGATTATCTCTTAAACATTTTGGTATGACAATTATATGAAAGTTTAATTCACTCCTAACATGTCAGTTGTATTAGACACTTAAGAATGTTGTTGGTTGCAGGTGGCTCGAGTCTTTTATTATCTTTGTGTCATTGCACTGCAGTATGTGGCGCCTCTGGTAATGCTGCTTCACACAACTCTGCTTTTGAAAACACTAGGTAGGCATGCCCTGGCAACTAGGAAGCATCTTTTACTTTCTACCTATAATTAATAAGGCTTTTTGTCACCAACAAAGAAATGCAACTCTTAAAATTGTTTCTCTTTTTAAAAGCTGTAAAAAAGAACCATGGGAAAGTTTTAGCTGTGGAAGGTGATTTATCATTTTCATTTTGAAAACTCAGACCCATGGTTTTATAATTTTATGCTTTGTCTTCAAGAATTGTTTACTAAAGGTTAAGTCTCAGATTTACCCAGTAACTTTAGCAAGCACTGTTGATCTTAGTTACTTTTGTGTTATAAGAGAATGATTTAAGGTTTTGTTATTGCCTAATATTTATATTATTACAAGGCAATTATAAACTTAAATAAATTACAGAATGCTATGGTAAGTTCTAGTTTAGATAACTTACATTGAAAGGGTGAAGATTTCTCAGTACAAAATTCTACAAGTCTCTTCATTAAGCTATCAAGTCCCCATGTGGTGTTATTCAAGAAGTATCTATTACTGCATTAATCATTTCCCCTTTTTTGGATCAGGCAATCAGCCACTGTTAGGGTTTAAGAAACTCAAAGGAACTAAAAGTATTATTTGGCTTCATGGACTTAGTGGGTGTTATAGACCTGATGATAGGTGTAGGTGCCCTGTAAGAATTTATGGAATGTAAAGGGGTAAGTAGTTCAGTTGTAAATTAAGTGACTCATATCCTGTCCACTATAGGAAAGTATATGATGAAAAAAATTTCTGGAAGCTATTAATAGGTTTTCATATTGAAATCACAGATAATTTCTGAGAAAGGAATTTATTTTGATATTCTAGAAGTAGAAAATATTTCTCAGAAGTTTTTGAATCTGTCCTTGTCACTCCAGTAGAGTTAGCTGATTCATTTCTTATACGATGAGGAAATTGTTTTTGTTATTTTACCCATTTTTAGTGCAATTAATTAAAAGTATATCAGACTTTTTGCTTTTATGTGTACCTTTACTGATGAGGCCAGATAGTCTCTAGTCACGTTAATTTTTTAGGGATCTAGAAGGATTATTATTTTACTTTATTTTCAACATAAAATGATGTACTATGCCTCTAAACTTATTGTTAATTTCAAATATAGTAAAGATCTTTTTTTAGTGAAAAGCTTTGTAATTAGTTACTCTTCAAATTGTATTTGTGTCTTCGATTTTCTAGGTAATCATTCCTGGGGAATTTATCCAGAATCAATCTCTACCTTACCAGCGGATAATAGTCTACTTTCCAATTCTGTTTACTCTGAATTACCATCAGCTGAAGGGAAGATGAAGGTAACTGTTACGCAAATAACAGTGGCACTGAGCAGCTTAAAAAATATTTTTACTCCTCTTCTTTTTCGAGGACTTCTGTCTTTTCTGACCTGGTGGATTGCTGCTTGCCTCTTTTCTACAAGCCTTTTTGGGCTTTTCTATCACCAGTATCTGACTGTGGCATGAATCTCAGTTAACAAAAAAGCATATCCAAATCACACTTTAAATTCAAATATTTGTGCCCTTAAAGGGCTGATGAAAACCAGAAGAAAGCAAATACAATGGAAAAAAAAAAAAAAACATATCAGAATGTCTTGTATTAAATGTTTCCTCTGTATTCTCAGGGTGAATTAATGTTGTAATATTTAAAATTACAAAATAGATTGTTAACTGTTACACTGTGGCATTGGAATTTTAACTCTTTGTATTTACTGGTAGGAGAGGGCTATCTACAAGGGTAATATTTCTGATTACCTTGGTTGACAGAAACCTCCAGCAGTCTTTGAAACATCTCACATGACTCTAGTTACTGATTGCTTTTAATGGTATTATGGTACTGTTGATAGTCATAGTGGCTGCCTATAGAACAATCTTCAAACTGAGCCATGCTTTAGGAGAGGGAAAGGGGCTAAAGTCTCTTCTGTTGGTAATATATTAGTTACTCTTGAAACAATAAAATCCAACAGAAAGGAAGAGATAGCTACTGTATATTACAGTAAAGAAAACTGCATAGTTATTTTAAATTTAATGGAGATGAATATGGTTAAAATATATAACTACTGCTGCTTGAGAATAGCAAGAGTATTGTTTTAAAACATATTCTACCCAACTTGAGAGTTCTTTTAAAATGACTGGCCATATGAACATTTGTAATCTTGCCATTAGGTTTGGACCTGCCATATTTTATTTTATTCTACGATCCTAAATAGTTCCTTTTAATAGGCTAAAAATATTTATCAATACTGATCAGACTTTAAAGAAATTACTTTGTAAACCTGCTGACTACCTGTATGTATTGTATATATATTATATATTAAATATATAATATATTGAGATTATAAAAGATGAAAATATTGAATCCTTATAATATTTTAAGTTGCAGAATGTATGTTAAAAAGTGACTTGAATGAGATGTATTTGTATCTAGAAATTTTATTTCTTTTTGGAATGAGATTAAAATACATTTTGAAAGTTCAGCAGAGTAAGCAATTTATTTGTATTGCCTATGTGTGAGTGTATTTAAAGTTTTATGGACGCTTAATAATTTCTCCCAAATTAAAATTCTTTTTCTGTCATTTCTGAAAATCAGAATCTTTCCCTCCCAAATCAGGTCTACAGGTATCATGTATGCCTTGGTTAAATAGGACTCATTTTAAATTTGTAGTTTCTAGAATAAGAAATATTTTTATTTTACTGGCCAAAGTTGAGATAATTTGAATGAAACATTCAAGGGAAATGAAAAAAAAATAAAACTGTTTTTGATTCTTTTTACATCTAAAGTTTAAAATGAAGGGTCAAGATTGTAAAATGTATAAGAGATAAACAAAGGTAGTTTTTTTCTCTTTTTAAATAAATGAATAAATACTTTTCCATATAACTCTTAGGAGGCTGTCTTTATGTTTCAGTGCTGTTACCACTGTTGAAAGCAAGTTTGAAACCCTTCTTTTGGAATAACTTTCAGGGCTTAAGGTTCACATTCATTTGAAAATTTTAATATAGCAAATTCCTGTCTTTGGGTGTAGATTTAAATATTTTGGAAATAGCCATGTTTTAAAAGAAAAGGAATGCTTATACACTGCTGGGGATGTAAATTACTTCCACTCGTATGGAAAACAGTATGGAGATTTCTCAAAGGACTAAAAATAGAACTACCACTTGACTGAGCAGTTTCAGTATTAGATATCAATCCAAATGACAGGGAATCATTTTATCAAAAAGAGACCTGCACTTATCTGTTATTGAAGCAGTATTCACAGTAGCAAAGTCATGGGGTCAACCTAAGTGGCCATCAGTGGTTGATTGGATAAAGAATATGTGGTATGTATGCACCATAGAATACCATGCAGCCGTAAAAATAGAATGAAACCATGTTCTTTGCAGCAACATGGATGAAGCTGGAGGCCATTGTCCTAAGTGAACTAACTCAGAAACAGAAAATGAAATACCAGATGTTCTTTTATAAGCGGGAGCTGAACAATGAGTACTCATGGACATAAAAATGGAAATAATAGACACTAGGGATTCCAAAAGAGGGGAAGTGGGAAGGAGACAAGGGTTGAAACACTACCTGTTGGATACTATGTTCACTATTTGATTATGGGTTCACTAGAAGCCCAAACCTCAGCATTGTGTAATACACCTATATAGCAAACCTGCACACGTACGCCCTGAAACTAAAATAAAACATTTTAAAAATTGAGTAGTAAGTACTTAAACTGGATAAAACTCTTTGAAATGAATTGTGAAGGTATCCTAATGACGCTTCATGTGTATTTCCAAAGAAAGCATTTCAAATATATTTTGAGAGATATCAACATCATCAAAATGTGTTTGTTTTGTGATAAGATGATACCAGAATTTAACATTTGTTTTGTTTCTGAAAGTTCTCACATGTTGGTCTAGAAAAGAATCTCACCTGGTATTTATAATCATTCTTACCAAAGAGCTACATTTTAAAAAGTAAAATTGAAGTTATTCTTTTGAGTTTCAAAGATTGTACAGTGGAATAATATGGGGTAAAAGACATAGAATTCATTATTGGATGAAATAATGTGTATTCCTTAAGTTCTGTTAGTTCATTCTTTTTAAACTTAAACTCTAAGTATACTCTGGCTTGGGCAAACCAAGTATTATTTTAACAGGTTTAGTTTAGTGTTTTTAGCCTTTCAAAGCAAATTTGAAATAATTGGTTTATTTATGCATTTTGTCTTTGAACCAAGAGTTATGTTCTCTAAATGCAAAAGGGTTTGTACTTTATGTAAACCCAATAATGTTTTAATATCCCCAAATTAGACCAATATAGTTCTTTTATTTTGTATTTTATACTTTAGTCAATATAATATGCTTCAAAGCATATAGTTATTTTTATTATATGTGTTTGCCCTTATAATCCTGCTTTTGTATGTTTAGTAGGATTGTGACAATTTATTCGTTCATGTCTTTCCTACTCTCCCACTTGCTAGCAATTGCACTATAAGATCAGAGCTGTATTCTTCCTGCTACCCCCATTGATTTGTCTGTAATGAAAAGCATATAATTTTATCTTAATATCCATGTGCATTTTTATTATATTAGTATTTCTCCCAGAATCCCAATTGATGTGCATAAAATGACCAATGCATGCAAGCAGAATGGGCTCATTGTCTTATTGTTTCTGATACAAATATCATTGGTAAAATAGTGGCATTTCTTCCTCAGTTGTGATTCAGAAGAGATATTCATCCATTAATGGAATTGACAGGTCCAGGAAGCAATAAATAGAATTCATTATGAAATCTATAATTGAAACTTCACTGAATAGATTTTATTCTTTCAAATGAAAGATTAAATTCTCAGTATTATGAAGCCTAAGGTCTCAACATTCTCTGAATTCATACACAGTTTCTGAACCATCACGTAATCGAAAATGGTCTATCAAGGTGTATGGCATTATTCAGCAAAATAAAACTAAGTGATTTTTAAATGCAGATCATCCTGTGTCTTTGCAAAGATTTAGGTGGCTTAAGGAATCAGATTTAAACACACTAGTGATACTAGAGCTTGAACCCAGTGTCTCGAATAGTTGTACCATCTCATCTTTTAACTCCTATCCATCGTATTATGTTCGCACCTCGGCTTTAGAACTGAGCTCGTTATGTGCTGTGAAGACTCTGACATGGACACCAAGGATGATCAAAAAGCTAATGTCTTGCTTGATATCTTGGGATTAAAATAAAAGCTAATGTCAAACTTTTCTTTTTTAAAGTGGTAAACATTTTCACATATTTTTGTTTTCTTCCTAAGTTGGGGAACAAAAATAGGTCGAGCCTTTTTATATGTTTGTCTTCTGTTTCCACTGGACTCCTTTTTTAGCTATGAACTCTTCATGTTGGACAGGCCTATTTTTAATGGATCAGAGTGTGTATTTTTCCATCCTATTGTTTTTTGTTTTGTTTTCTTTTGTTTTCCTCCCATCACTCCCTGCATGTGGGTACTGTTCTTTCTCCCGTTTGGGAAAAGACAATTTATTTTCTTAAATAAAGTAGTAGCATAATTTTGTAGGTAGAATGCTAGTCTAAGAATCAGAAAACATCCCATTTCTGTCTATAGTTTTTTGTTTGTTTGTTTTTGCATCTTTAAAACGAAGAATTTACATTAAATGTGTGGCTATATATTTCTTTCTTTTTTTTTTTTTTTTTTTTGGTGAGATGGAGTCTCTTTCTGTCACCCAGGCTGGAGTGCTCACCCAGGCTGGAGTGCAGTGGCGCGATTTCGGTTCACTGCAAGCTCCACCTCCCAGGTTCACGCCATTCTCCTGCGTCAGCCTCCCGGTTAGCTGGGGACTACAGGTGTTTGCCACCACGGCTAGCTAATTTTTTTTTTTTTTTTTTTTTTTTTTTTTTTTTTGAGAGATATGGGGTTTCACTATGTTGCCCAGACTGGTCTCAAACTTCTGAACAAATTCTGATGATTTGCAACTTTGAGGACTCACCACCCCCTGCTAATTTTTTTTTGTATTTTTAGTAGAGACGGGGTTTCACCATGTTAGCCAGCATGGTCTCAATCTCCTGACCTCATGATCCACCCGCCTTAGCCTCCCAAAGTGCTGGGATTACAGGCATGAGCCACCGCGCCCAGCCTGCTATATATTTCTAAATGTGGTAACTGATTTATCTGTGTTACGAGAAAAACATAACAGCTATGTTTGATTTTAGGAATGGTTACAGATCATGTTGGAGGGCATTCATTTTTTGTTATTTGAAAATGACTTCACAAAGAGTGTTTTCTCTGGAATAATTTGGTTTGTACCCATTTAATTATTTTTCAATAAATATCTGTTCAGTGCCAGTAATGTGCCATAGGCTGTTCCACGTACCCTAGCTACAGCAGTGAACAAAACAGCAAAATCGCTTCCCTCCAAGAGCTTAGCATCTAATGGGGAGAATGCAGACAATAAATTAAGATGAAGAGTCTAATATGGGATATCTGTATGTGTATTGTTGAGCTGATGTCCCTGTTAGGGCAAGGAGGGTCTAGGACTTTCTCTTCTGCCATCTTGCTGACGTCATTCTCCGTTTGGAATTACATCTTTAATATGCTAAAAGAAAATAGCCACTAATGTAAGATTCCATGGCTTTTAATAGAAAGACTTTAAAAAGAAAAACTAAGGAAATTTGTGGTCAGGATGAAGGGCAGTAATCATAGATGAAGACATGGAAATGGACAAGGAAGGCATTTTAAATATTTGCAAATGGACAAAAAACATTTATTGAATGCCTCGTGTTATTTTAAAATTCAGCATATCTAAAGTTCACAATAACAATGGAAAAGGAAAGGATAAATGAAGTTAAAATAATATGTTTTTAGCAGTATCATGAAAGTGAATGTAATTTGTATTGTGATAAAAGATTAATGTACATTGTAATCTCTAAGATAATCCATAAAAGAATCCATAACAAGTAAATAGAAGAAGGAAATGGAATAATATTTAAAAGATGAAAACAAACCATATAGGACTGCGATCAAAAGTAGTGGAAATGAACACAACTATATCAGAAATTAGATTAAATGTAAATGGACTAAATACCCCAAACAAAAGTATTTTCAGATTACTTAAAAACAAAACTGTATGACTATATGGCACTTTTAAGAGTCAAATCTAAAGTTAAAAAGGCACAAAATTGAAAGTAGTAAAGTGAAATACTAAAGGAAACCTAATTTAATTACTCTATTAGAACAAAGTATGCAGTAAGACAAGAAGCATTACTAAAGAGATACATTTCATCATAACAGAGGTCATTCACCTTTAATACATTTCAGTGGCTGAAAACTCACAGGCACACACAAGACCATAGAAATTCTAAACAATGTTGGACCTATAATCACGAAACAGTAACAATCACATTCAAGATTACATGGAACTTTATCAATATGACCACTGTATTAGGATTTTCTAGAGGGACACAACTAATAGGATATATGTATATATGTAGAGGAA